GTGTCAAGAAACTTTTTAATTCTACATTATACAAAAAAAAAACCACTTTTCTTCTTGAAGATGAAAAAAAGCTTATTTCTGAGTGTGTTTGGGGAAGATTGAGCTCATCCTCAAAATGTGTAACTTCTCAGACTACTTTCTGAGCATATACGTTTTCAGTGTATAAAATTTGAACATTTCATTAGGGAAAGAGCAGTGTAATGGACTATCCCCTGCTTGCAGCATATTCCCATCTTCTCATCTGGAAAATTAAATCTGATTACAGCTTGGATTAACATTTATGGTTGTGGGGGAGAGGAAGATAGTATCTTAAACTACATGAAATCGAACAATGAAGATTATATCGTTTATGGCGAATTTTTAAGTCCTGCTTTTAAAGGGAAGCATTCTTATAATTGTAAGCTTTAAATATGTTCGGTATTTTGTTTCTTATTGACTGAAATATCCTAGGGATAATGACTGGATAAATTTTAGTGGGCATTAAATGTAATTTTTTCTGCCTTGATACCTACCATGTTAAAAGTGAAAGCAGTGTAGATTCCCGTGTTAGCAGCTACATTTGCTTGCAGTCTCTCTTAAATTTCCTAAAAGAGCTCCAGTTATGGACGATTGTAACATTTGGTTCGTGTGCAGTTGTCACACATTTCATAGAAAATGAAGTCAGTGTATTTTTCAATAATCAGTTAAAGCATCATGCCTTCAAATGGAGTCATTGGTGCAACAGAGAAAAACAGGAAAATAATTTGGTAAGGAGTGTGTGTGTGTGTGTGTGTGTGTGTGTGTGTGTGTGTACACACACATACTAGTTACTGATCTACAAATGAGCCCTCATACATAACCACAGTACTTTTATGAATTATTTTGCATTTCTGTTGTAAAAGCTCTGTCTACCACGTTTTCTAGGAACTTTAAGCCTAAGGCAGAACTCAAGGTTTTGGAGCCTGTGTAAAATAATTTATAGCACCGTTCCAGCAAGTCTTGCCCAAACTCTAATTCTATTAATTAAACATCCTGTGGCAATCTGGTATATCTTAAAGATTTAAAGTATGTTACAGTAGAAGACTAGAAAACATGAACAATTGAGGTCGAAGAAAATTAACCTTTCTTAAAAAAAAAAAAAATCAAGACATAGTTGTTCTGAGACTTTTCTTTATTTATTTTTCCCCTGTGAGGACCTAGCCTCTTAAGCATGGTCATGTTACACGCCTGAATCAGATTGTGCTATTGGGAGTCCTATGCTGGGAAATGTCTGTGTTAAGTATAGAAATGCTTCCTGTGGCCTCCAGTGGAAGCGGTGGTGCACATGTCTCTTTGTGGAGACCTCCTCTTGCATGGATGTGGTGCTGGAAGAAGGTAGTGGCCCATCACGTTGATGTGATGCGAAGCCTTATTCCAGACCCAGCTGCCTCTTTTAGGCTTATGTGGTCAAGAGATATATGGACTCTACCATACCATACGTCTTGTGGCAAGATAAGATATTTTAAATACGATATTTTAGGTTGAAAAGTATTTTCCTGGGAGATGATGAAATTGATTTTTAATTTTAAGAATCTACTACTTAAATCTGGAGAAAGTTGCTGAGAGAGAAGGAAAAGGAATGTTCTTAATTTTCTGTCAGAGGGACAATTCTTTGAGAAAAAGCTTGACATATGCCCATGACTCTGTTCTTTCTGCCAATTGCCTAAGCAAATTGTTGCTTTTTTCCTTGGTAGTTCTCTGATCTGCAGATTTTTGTGTTGAAAGTTAGCTGTTTGGTGACACTGCATTTGGCGGTGAGGGTATGAATGTGAGAAGGTGTTTTGGAACATTAGCAATTATAGTATTGGATGGTGGATAAAGAAATAGATACATAAATATTAGACTGATGCACACTTTTCCAGTGTATGTTATTTTCCATATAAAGATATAGAACATTTCATAAAATGTTCCCAGACCATTTAAAACTCAAAGAAATGCAGCTGATGCAATGAAATACATAGAGTACTTGTAAAAACATACAGACACGCAAGTGGATTGCTGCCAGACAGAAAATTTAAAGGCGGTTTGCTTAACTGCAGGGTGCTAGGTTTTGTACATGTGCCATGCTGAAACTGTTAGTAAGGCGGGTGTTGTGTTGCTTGAGAAAAGCAGATTGTATTTGGACCTTTTAAACTCAGATGTTTCCAATGTCGATATTTTGGTGACATTATGGCATTGTGATTGACTCAAAGTGAAAAAAGATGATTTCAACCCACTGTGCAAAATAGACGTTTTAAGAAAAATTATTTTCAGTTTTTTGTTAATTTTTACAAAATGGCTTTCATAGTTTTATAAACTATCAGATTGGATCTTTGAGCTAATTGAGTGGAACTTTGTAGGTTGGGCTTTTGTTTTTAAAAAACATTGCCCCCCCCTTTTTAAATATTGCTTTAGAGAGTGTTAAGAACCCATAAAGTTTGCTTTTGTAAACCTCAGGGCCTTAAAGGAAATCAGAAGCTTTATGCTTGGATCATAGTAAATAATAATCCATGTATTATCTTGGAACATGATTCTGTAAAAATCTGGGAATCTCACTCTGGGCTGAGTCTTAGGACAGTTGAAGGAATTTGGTTGATGATGTTTGTTGTGCCTGCCACTGAGGCAGTGTTTAGGATAGTATGATTTGCATGACTCCCATCTTGGCATCTTTACCTTCAGTATATTAAAATAAGTGGATTTTTTTCATCCATGTTTCCTTCTCTTTTTAGAATTCTGCCATATTGTATATATGCATAAAATACATTTTTAAAATAAGTTAATTATTAATATAGTTTCTTATTAACATAGTTGACTAAAGATGTAAAAACCTTCCTTCTCCCACCTATAAATAAGAAACTTTTTAAAATTGAAGAATAGATCATAAATTTTGGTTTCTGACCTCCATCCCCTCACAAAGTGGTGATTAAAAAAATTAGTCTTTGGTTTTATTCCATCTTGATTTCCATCAGTATTTGTGGTTCCTGAGAAGCACAAACTACTGCAAAAAGACATGATATTAAAGATTATATGTGAGTCATTTCTATATGAAGTTTTCTGGTTGAAGAGTGTTAACCACGTGACAGTTGGAAGAAAAAGAATAAGCCTTATTCTGTGGCTTTCCCAACTTCTGTTTTATGTTGCCCCTTAGTGGCTTAAAAGTTTTTTTTTTTTTTTTTTTTTCCAGTCTTGGGAGCATATTTTAAATCCTAAAATACCAGCTTTTCCTGCCCCAGGGTGATTTACCTATGTTTTAGGGATTATAACTGCTACCCTCTTACTTAGGCTCTCCCCATCCCCCAACCCAACAGCAAGCACACTTTTAGAGGTGTGTTAGACATCTGGTTGTCCCTTTGCATCCTGCTAATTCTTCCCTGTAGACCTAGTGCTTTTCATGCCACACCATTAGCGCCCTCTGGCCTCCTGTCTCAAGTGGACCAAGTCCTTGTGTGATTTCAGCCCTTTCAGCCAGAGAGAAGCAACAGTTTCTTCCTCTGGCACACTAGGGCAGCCCTGCACGGAGAGGACCATGCCAGCACTCTGCTGGTCACAATGTAGACATGGCCTTTGTCCCATCGAGTGTTTGCACGGGAGGGTAAGGAAAGAAATTGATCCCCAGTTTTTAAGTCAACCAGAAGATCCCTCAAGAGCTGAAATGGTCTACAGATAGTTTCATGTCTTTTGGACCACCCATTTTTGGAAGCTCTGCGTTTTTGGTATGCCCTTTTGAATACTTCTGCTTTTGTTATTAGCCTTGGGTTTTGAAAAATAACATCCATTGACTTTATTGACTTGAAAACTGATATTTCTAGGATTTAAATGTAGTATGTGAATAGGCCCTTAGTTTTTTCCCTTTTTGATTCTTTGCTGCAGAAAGATTAACTGCATTTTTGTGTTGTGATTTTGGAGGGTTTTAACTTTTATGTGGATTCACTCTCACAGAGAAGGAAATTGATGTTTTAAAATATAGCTAAGAAAACTGAATAGTATGTTTTGTGATCAGTGTGTGAGGGGACCCTCAAATACTGTGCTTTTCCATTGATACGTGATTTTTCAAATACATATTATTCTTATCACTCCCCATAATGTGTCTCTGAGGAACCAGATCTCTTATTCTTATTAGAAAAGATTGAATGTTTTCCTAATCAATAGCAAATGGAGTGCTAATAGCATTTAATTAGTACAGTTCTGTATTGACTTACAGACGATGGCATTGGATTATCTTGCAATTATGATTGGAGAATCAAGTGACCCCTTTAGTAATTCCATTTTAAGCAGATGGTCATAAAAGGTGTTTTCACCTATGTATTTTTATAGTTGATGAGCAAATCTAATTATGTTAGGTAGAACATAATATCTCATTTCATGATATTTTGTTTGTATTGACAAGCCAAAAGTGTATTGTTTGATTCTGAAGAAAATTTCATCCGGTTTTATCTGTATTTTCAGGAGTTCATAAGTATTTTGGTAAGGATACATTTTATTTTTAAAAGCAAGGAGTTTTGTATTTGTTCTTTGAAAGAATTCTTCTCCCGCTCCCTGCCACCTGCCAGTATGCACGCATGCACGCGTGCGCACACACACACACACACACACACACACAATCTGAAACTGGTGTTTAAGGTGGTTTATCAAGCACACATCTGTAACTGTGAAAAGGAGGCTTCTGATTAGAGAAAAAAAAGTCAAGCCAGGTTTAGGACTCATTTTCTCTGGAAAAATATATTGAGGGCAATTTGCAGCAGGCAAGATTTTTGCATTAGGTAATAGTCTAAAGTTAACAGTAGCATCAGGTCTTCAAAATTTTTCTTTTTTATATTTCTGGAGGAGGGTAATGGGAGTGCCTTGCCGAGTCCTTCCTTGTGCTCATCAACATAGCAGCCTCAGCTGCCCCCCTTGGATCCCCTGCCAGGGCTGCTATCATCTTCTGATCAAATATTAATGTGTGATCCTCTGCTTGCTCACTAATCCAAAGCCAATTAATATTATCTGTCAATTATTTACAG